TGCAGACCTTGATCTACGTAGAAACGGAGCCAAAGCATGGTCACTTCTCTCCAACTTGTGTGGAGAAAAGCGCCGAAACAACCCAAAACCCATGGACACAGAGGAAGGCACCATCGTAGAAGACCAAAAAAAGGCAGAAACCTTCAACAAGTTCTTTGCTTCTATAAACAAAGCTACACACCACACTGACCAACATAGAGACTGACAGAAGGAGCGAAGCACACCAGAGAACCAACCAACCACCCACCTGCGCAATGGAAATTTATAGTACGGTATACGAAATTAAGAACCAAGTCAGTATTTTAAATAGTAAAGCTTGATCTTTCGTCAGACATAATAAAAACCTTTGGTTAACGTACGTATACTAGGAAGGACAAAGAACTTCCTGAAAATAATGAGGACACGCCAAAAACTCTACAAAAATGATAGCTGGGCATAATTATGCAAAATACATGTAGGTCACTAAATGACCTATAACTTCTTTTAGAGGTTCTATGATTTGAGAGACCGGAGTCTGTGGTATAGCGGTTAGTCAATTCGCTGTCGCATGCAGGAGACCCGAGGTTGATTTTCGAATGGTAATAATATTTTAATTTTAATCGAGTTTCTCGGTCTTTATGCTAGGATGTTGCATCCATCTCAGACCGAGTTGGCCCCTGATAAGCACGTTAAGAATTCCGCTTCCTAATGATCTAAATTGTGTCGATGGGGACGTAAAAAACACCTACATATTTAAATAATTTGAGAATAATCACAAGCAAGGTCGCAGAGAAGTTTCAACACAAGACCGTGTTTGCCCGAAACGTCACTGTAAGGTTCTTGTGATGAGGTTCTACTTGAGTCTTTTTTTCGAGACAAAAAAAAAAACAACCCAACAAAAACGATGAAAAACAAAGCAACAATGAAACATAAAAAAATCCCACCCGAGCTTAGCCTCTGTCATATAATTTTTTAAAAGACTCTTCAGGGTGATCAAAACGTTTTCACATAAAACTCTGGTTTTATATTGCATATCAATGGGTTATGTTAAATCTTCGAGTTAACAAGAATTCGATAGAACAATCCTTTTGAGTCCAACGAAGTGAGTTATATTCACACGTATATTTAGCCATGTGTAGAATCATTTATACAAGTACAAGTACCCTCCTCATTGCTGTAAAATTTGAGCGCGGATGTAAAATATGAAGAAGTTGAGAGAGTGGAGGGTTGGTCAGGTAAGCATGTTGCTGGATATTGATGCGGGAGACCATGGTTCGAGTTTGAACTGGGGGTTTTGGGCAGTATCCATAGCTTGTCTATACGCGTGGCTCTGCCTTATCGGAGACGGGTTTTAAATTGGAAGTCTCATCTCTGAAGCAACATTATAGTGTTGAAAAAGGCGTTAAACAAATACTATGCCACGTCGTATGAGAAACTGTATGTTCTTCGTGCATTCGAGAACCCATTAAAAATCTTTGTTTAATAGGGGCACCAGCTAGCTATATTGATGGGCCAGTACATTCGAGCTTGCTACTTACAGCTCACAGCTCCCAATTCACACATGTAGACATTCTGCTGAGCCATCTACAACACACAACTGAATCAGAATGAAAACATTAATTATGGAGGGAAGGAACTCCCGATAGACTATTATCAAAATAGCTCCAACATTCTAACATCTTTTCACATTATACAGTTCTCGCCATGAACGAGCCCGTCTCAATGTCTGGTGATGTCACGTCGGGAAGCATTCCATCCAGGCTGAGAATTTTAGATACAAGGAGGCTCTTGTAGAGTTGACTTCCATCTTGCGTCCTTGTGTCATTGTATCGTTGTCTCTTGTCGTTTTCGACGGGCTAGCCTTTTCGGCTGATTCGTCACTGGGAGAACGCCTCCACCCAAATGTCACAGAAGAATATCTCTTTCCAGCCTATAGTTTTCCCCAGAAAAAAGGCGGAAGAGGGTTTCTTTGCTCTTTTGTCATTTCTGAGCCGTTCTCCATGATGATGTGTAAAGTGCAGGTAGGAGTCAATTTTAAAATGATGTTTGTTTAATTAAACAGTTTTGTTTCGTGAGTTCAGTGTTTAACAAGCCAAGCTCTGGTCACCGCCGGACTCCAATGGGCATAGGGTGTCGCATGTCTTTGAACATACAGCTCTCAGCACGAACCTGTGGGGAAGAGAAGAGAGTAGACAGTTAAGTCTAATTAAAAGCAAATCCTTGGGTTTGACGCCCCTATCAACACTATTGTCATTAGGAAGCGGGACCTCCTAATTTAAAGTTCATCTCTGGCAGGAATGAACCAAATGGGTTAGGAGTCTTGAAAGCCCAAGAAAGGGGATCCGAGTTCATGAACGCGCAGTTTGGGATTCGAATCTGAGCCACCCGCTCTGTAGTCCAGTATGGCATCAATTGTGCTAGCAGAGACTTTGTGGGTGCGGATTACAGTTTTGACTAAAGGAAGTAAAAACAGGGACATGAAGAGGTAAAAGTCTAGTTGAGCTACTAAGCACATTCCGGGTCAACACTCTCTCTGTCTCGACATATACCCCCCCCACC